GGAGGAGGAGCGAGGAGGAGGAGGAGGATGAGGAGGAGGATGAGGAGGAAGAAGAGGCAGAGGAGGAGGAGGAGGAGGAGGAGGAGGAGGAGGAGGAGGAGGAGGAGGATGTATGGCCACAGGGGGTGTGGGCGACCATATATTTTTATAGGACTGGGGGCCCCAGAAAATGCGCCCCTCCCCCCCCCCCGCCAAACGAATTTCGGACTCCCCGTGCTGCTTGAAGCCCCCCCTGGGCTGCTCGGACGCCCTTGCAAAGGGTTCCTTCGGCCTTCCGGCCTTCTCGGAAGGTCCAGACAGGCTTTCCAATATTGCCCAAGGCACCTCGTCGACAGTTCCAAAGCACGCCAAAACCTTCAGAATGGCTTCCAACTGCCCCAAGAGGCCTCCAAGAGGCTTCCCAAGAGGGCCCGAAGAGGCACAACTCCGTAGCCATTTTGGCTCAAGCCATTTGGCTCAAGCCGTTTGTGCACAAGTTTTTTGCAAAGTCCTTGTCGGGCCCTCGCCGCCCTGCCCGCGCCGCGCCGCGTCGGGATGGCCTCCAGCCTCGTGCTCGTCGCTTTCGTCAGCGGGTGCCTTTCAGCAGCTTTCGCTGGCCAGTGCACTCCTCACGCGTTGGACTTCATCGTGCTGGAGGGCGATCCGCTGATGGCCCAGATCGAAGACGATATCGTGGCGGACCTCGCGAAGGTGGGCGTGACTGTGACCACCAGGTTCCTGCCCAAAGAGGAGTTCAATGCAGCAATGCAGGCGGGAGATTTTAACTTGTGCTTCACCGAGTCTTGGGGCCCGCCCTACGACCCGCAGAGCTTTGCCACTGGCTGGTTCAGGCCCGGGAACGAGGCGCACTACCCTGCCATGCAAAAGATGGAGCCCCCCATGACGTTTACCCAGATGGAGACGCTGGTCACAAATGTGCTCTCCGTTGAGAACGCCATGGTGCGGCAGGAGAAGTGGACCGAGATCCTGCTTGAGATGCACCGGCAGGCCATCTCCGCCCCGTTGTGGTCGCGCCGCGTTCCGGCCATTTGGAACAGGCGGCTGCAGGGCTACATCTCTGGCAACCAGCAGTACGACTACCCGATGCACAACTTCGTAGTTGACTCCGGCTCCGACTCGGTCACGGTGGCTCCTGGCGCACAGACGGGCCTCTTCGTGACTACGGGCCCCATGGACCCGCACAGCTACCGCCCAAATGAGTTTTTTATCAGCAACTGGATCTACGAGGGCCTCGTATCTTACGGCGACAACGGTGTCATCGAGCCTCAGCTGGCTACCGCATGGGAGGTCTCAGACACCAACTCGGGAGGCCAAAAGTATCGCTTCACGCTCAGGGCTGGCGTCAAGTTCCATGACGGTACCAGCTTCGATTGCGCAGCTGTGAAGATGAATTTCGATCACGTCTTGCAGCCACCGCTGAACCACAATTGGTACCACGGTTGGTATCACCTGGCGCTCCACACCACTGGTTGGGAGTGCGATGGCGAGGTCTTCGAGATCACGCTGGACGCCCCATACTACCCTTTCCTGCAGGAGCTCTCCCTCATTCGCCCCCTGCGCATCCTGTCCCCAGAGAGCTTCTTCAATGGGCCGACCACCGACCCGATCACGCACAACTCGTGTCCCGAGAAGTGGGGCCGCGTCAACGGCGATGGCGGCATGGCAAGTGTGGGCGTGGACGCGAGCGTGACCGTGAACTGTGTCGGCGTCAGGAGCTTCGCGGGCACTGGCCCTTGGGTCTACGACAGTACGACCACGCGCACCGACGGCTCGATCCAGGAAGTGACCTTCTCTAGGAACGCGGCCTGGTGGGGCCAGCACGGCGGCGTGGAGGAGCTGCGCGTGGTGAACTACAACACGAGCGACTTGATCAAGCAGGCACTAATCGACGGGAGCCTGGACGTGGCGGTGGGCGACAAGGTGCTGAACCCGCAGCAGGTGCAGGAATTTCAGAACGATCACTCCGAGACCCACGCCACCATCATGGGCCCGCGCCTGTTCAACCAGATCATCGTCATGAACGCAGCGAAGGTGCCCACAGACGACATCGAGGTGCGGAGGCTGATCATGCACTCCGTCGACAAGGCCGCCGTTGTGCAGAAGGAGATGTACGGGCAGGCCGCCGTCGCCGACTCGTTGTTCCCTCGCGACTCCCCTTATTGCGACATCGACCTCACGCCTCGCTGGGACTACGACTTCGAGAAGGCCACGCTGATGAACTGCCCCGACATTCTGGTGTCAGACGAGGACGAGGTCGACGAGGGTCTGGTCCTAGGCCTGTCGTTGGGCATCGGGCTCCCTGTGCTTGCTGGCATCGCTGGCGTTGTTTGTTTCTTTCTGGGGAAAAACATGGGTTACAAGAAATTCACCGAGGAGAATGATCAGCGGATTAGGGCGGGCCCGCCAGCCACAGTCGGTGCGGCCGAAGAAAGCGGTAATACGGTTGAGGCTCGCATGTAGGGAACGGTTGCGTCGGCTGCCATATCACAAGACCAGGCCCAAAGAGCAGAGCGCAGGCACGATCTTGCCATTTTTTCGTTTCCACGCAGCGTTTGCGCGCACGTTTTTCATGCATAGAATGTCGCCAAGGCTGGCGGTCTTGTCGAGGGGTGTTGTTGTATAACAGGTTCGTTGGTACGTGAGCGCATTGCTCTTCAGCGAAGAGGGGATGCGGTACATGTCCGCAGTGGTCACACCGTGGCACTGCCGACCAAACGCAGTTTTGGCCGCTGACGTCGATTGTACAGAATCGGCTGCACGGAGTTTGGCTGGAAGCCATCGCAAAGAGGCGGTGCGTAGTTGTCGTTTTTTTTTGCCGCTTGCGGACGAATTATGTCTGCTGTGTCCAAGTGTTGAGCAATGCTGCGTGGAGCACATCGAGTTTCTTGACGTCGCTCGCGGCTTGCGACCAAAACAAAAAAAAAAGGGCCTGAAGAGGCACAATTCATTGATGTTTCAATGGTTTTTGAAGGCTTTTTCGGTTTTCGCTTTTCCAGGACAAGAACGGCCAAAGACGGCCCAAGAGGCTCCAAATATCGTCCCAACACGGCCCCAGAGGCCCCCCAAAGGGCTCGAAAGCGGCCCAAGAGGGCCCCCTACACGGTTCAAGAGGGCCCGAAAACTACCAAGCGAGCCCTTAGACAGCCCTAAGAGAGCTTCGGGAGCACCCCAAGAGGCTCCCAAGAGGGCCCCAAGATGCCTCCAAGACAGCCCGAAGACGGCCGAAGGTCTCTAAGACGCCCCAAGACGGCCCGAAAGGGTCCCAAAACGGCCCAAGAGAGTCCCAAAACGGCCCAAAAGGGCCCCACAGAAGGCCCAAAGAGGCAGCATTCATTGATTTGTTGAAAAGGTTTGAAGGTTTTTTCGGTTTTCGGATTTTCGGGCCACGAACGGCCCAAGACGGTCCAAGAGCGTTTTACATGGAGTTTCGTTGCAAAGCAATTCTTGCACGGATGTAGACATCGTTTAACAATACATTACCGTGTAAAACGAGCGTCAAACGCTCTTGGGACGTTCAGACGTTGGAAGGCGTTGTCATTTTATATCCATACGTACATACGTACATACACATGCACATGCATACATACGCAAAATAAAATCACATGTGCACACTCATCCCCCCCCGAACGCAGTTCGGACTCCCCGGGCTGCTGGGAAGCCCCTTCTTGGGCTGCTCGACCTGCTGGGAAGCTCCCCGGGGGCTGCTCGGACGCTCTTGCAAAGGGTTCTTCGACCTTCCGGCCTGAGGTGTTCAGACCACTCTTCGCCCGATCTCTCGCACAGCTGACTTCGGAGATGCCCTGCCCCATAGTGCTCGGGCCAGTTTCGCCTGAGCATCCTCGCAACGTCAACCTCGGATACGCCTTGCCGCGTAGCAATCAGACACGTAGCACTCCGACACGTTCACAAGGCCTCCAGATTTTTCCCAAAGGTTCTGGCGGCGCCCGTCGTTGAGTCCCTCTCAGGTTCTCCTGTCTTTCAATGCTCTCGGAGGCCAGCTCCCAGCGTCTTGCATCCGCGTCAGTTCCAGCCTCCATGCCATGACTTCCGATCCTGAGCGTTCGTGACTGCCTGTCCTCGGGTCCGCGGGACTCCTCCCATTACTCTTTCCCTTCGCCTTCCTCCTTCCCACTGTCGGCGGAGACATCCTCGCAACTCTGACCCCAGAGAAGCCCTGCCCCAAGGTTGTCTGGCCACTTCCGCTTGAGACCTTCTCGCAACTCTGGGTTCCGGGGGTCCCTGAGCTGAGGTGTTCCGGCCACTTTCGCTAGAAACATCCTCGCGACTCTGGATTCCGAGATGCCCTGCCGCAGAGTAGTCCGCCATTTTCGCCTCCGACATCCTTGCAACTTTGGATTCAGGGATGCCCTGAGCTGAGGTGTTCAGGCCATTTTCGTTTGAGACATCCTCGCAATTCCGGGTTTGGGTATGTCCTCAGCTGAGGTGGTCAGTTCACTTTCGCTTGAAACATCCTCGCAACGCTGACATCGGATATGCATTGCCCCGTAGTAGTCTGGCTACTTTCGCCTGAGACCCTCGCACCTCTGAGTTGCGAGATGCCCTGCGCAGGCGGTCAGGCCAATACCGCCTGATACAAGCATGTGTATGCGCACCCATAATTACATATTGGTGCGTGCACCAACAAACACTTGCGATTGACATATACATGTGCATACACATATTTATATGTAATATGTACACACATATACAACAGTATGCATGTGTGGTATACGCAGATATATATGTGCAGAGCGTGCATGCGCGTGCGCGTGTATACATGCATGCGCGCATATACGCACGCACGCACCCCGCTTGCGTGCGAAACTCAGAGGACCAAGGTGCATGGCGCGCAGCGCCAATGCAGCCTTGTATAATGCAGCCTTGTATATATATATATATATACATGTATATGTAGAGAGATATCGAGAGAGAGAGAGAGATAGCTAGACAGAGAGAGAGAGAGAGACACAGAGAAAGAAGAGGGTTGCCATGCACGCGAGGACGGCAAGGGTCCTCAGCAGAAAGACGACGATGATGCGGCTGATGCGGCTGATGCGGCTGATGCGGCTGATGCGGCTGATGCAGCTGATGCAGACGCGCCTCCCGCGATGCAGGGTTGGCTGGGCAGGGCAGCCAGCATCTCTCTTTCAAGCCCTATCGACATATTCATGGTGCGGTGAGATTTCGGTATTTGGAGAGTTGTTGTTCACCTGCAGTGCAATGGGCGGACACTCCGCGCTCGGAAGCTTGGGATCTGCTGCAAGGGTTTTTGGGGGAGGGCATTCCAAGCCGCGTCAAGACCCAAGAGCCGACCCCGCCCTTCGTGTCCGAAAGCGCCGTCCTTCATTATGCGCTGCTCAGAGCGGCAGACTGCGGCAGAGTGATCGATTGGGGGTCATGGTGCCGCTTCGCACCTCGAGCTGCATATGAAGACGGCACCCTCATCAGACCGGGTGGCCAGCAGCAGCAGCAAGGGCGGCGGTCGTGTGGTCACTCGCCCACCGGAGCAGGGGGCCAAACGGCCCCCTAGACATCCGGCGATTGTGAAGGCCTGACGGCCGGTGCCGCCGACCTTGAAAGATATCGACGACGACCAGGAGGGGTGGGAGGAGGAGGAGGAGGAGGAGGAGGAGGAGGAGGAGGAGGAGGCGGAGATAAGGAGGAGGAGGAGGCGGAGGAGGAGCAGGAGGAGGAGGAGGAATAGGTTGTTGGGCCTGAAGCCAGCACGTCACCAACAATCAGGCAAAGGCGAAAGCCTCCGAGTCTGACTCGACGCGGTTGCGCGAGGCTCGGAGGGAGGCGGCCCCCAAGTCCTTGACCCAGGGCAGATCCGACTCGACGAGGCCGAACGAATCCAAAACTGGCTCCCGCTGGGCGAAGCACCCTGCGGAGCAGCCCGCGGTGGAAACTGAAAGACTCTGGGGGGAGAAGCCATCCTCTTGCAGCCTCCGAGCCAAGATCCTGCGTTCGGCGAGGCTCAGGTCCACGTGGGCCCCCAGAGACGAATTCTTTAGGTCCTTATTATAAGACGGGAACTTGCCCAGCCGAATCCTTCTCAGCGGGCCTGAAATGCCGCCCGTGGTTGACTTGGGCCTGCACGGCCCTCTTGCTCCAGCGTTGGGAGCCCCCGAGAAAAACGATCCACACCTACAGCAAAACTGGATCCTACTCCTGGGGGTCCCTGGAGGCTCGAACACAGGGCAGGCCAGAAATGCATGACCGTTCGCCCTAAAGACTTGCCGAGAGAAAGGCCGCCACTCCTCCCCCAAGTCGCACGAACCTCCACCCTCCCTTTGATCGTCGGCCAGGGCCTGGCCTTCAGCAGCTTCCTCGAGCGAGGGCTGCTGCCGAAGGCCATCGCTACCTGTCGAGCGCTGCACTAAACCTGTAGTGCCGCGGGGCCTCCCCGACATAGTGACCTCGACGCTTCCCACCCACATCCACGCTTGGCGGGCGAGGCACCGCAAGCCCCTGTACAGGTTAGCGTCGTCTTCAGTGACCCCGTGACAGTCAGCCCCTAGCTTAGCAAACTCGTCAGCATGCCCGTTGGCCCGACGTTCCCATTCTGAGCTTCTGCCAGCCTCGAAATCGGCGGCAGTCGCATGGCCTAACGTCCTGTGGCACTCGAAATCGCTGAGAGCAGACGCGCTCCACACAGGGCCCCAAAGGTGGGCACGCGGGGCCCCGGGGCCCTCAGAGAGCCCAGGCCCACGGGCCAGCGAGTCCAAAGTGCTCTGGCAATCGATGTAGCACTGAAGAGGGGGAAGACCAACCTGCGACAGCACATGTACAGCATAGTCTTCCCCGTCTTTACTCGTCTGCTGCGGGGCCATACACATTGGAACAGGTCCGTACGCCGCCGAAGCGACGTTCCCGAACCTGTCCACCGACACAATACTCCAACCTGCACGGGTGAGCCCGTCAAGGCCCATGTATTTCGCCGACCCGTCCAGGAAGAGCAGCCCGGAGAGAAGGCCCGTCTCGGGCCGCTGGTGCCAATGAACCGTCTGGGTGGGCTCCTCGACGTCGAAGGAGGGACCTGGGGTGGGGAAAGAAGCACCGCGCAAACCTCTCCGCCATCAGCGGGCCTAGCTCCTTCGCTTTCAGCGCACAACCTCCCAGTCGAGCACTCACCAGGTCTCGTTGCTGAATAGCGTGAGCTGGGCACTCATAATGACGGTGCCATAAAGTGCCTGGTGCACCTCCGCACAACTGACACAGCTCATCTTCGTGCAGGTTGTGCGCGAACAAACGTGCTTGAGGCCAATGCACTCCCGAGACCAGTCCTCGAATGTACCTCTGTTGATGCTTGCCCCAGACCTCCGACTTCTCCCTGAACATCCTAGAGATCCCGTCCCAGAAGATGGGGTAGACTGGGGGCCCATCAGGGCCGTTCTGTAACTGCAGCGCATATCGATCCGAAGCTCTCACCGCCCCTTGCCTGACGAGGGCCCTGACCTGCATCGGGGACAGCCTGAACAGATCGTGCACCACATTCGAGTCCTCTCTGATGCTGCGCTGGTCTACAAAGTCCCAGCCAAGCCCTCGGAAAGTAAGAAGAGCAACGTCGCTAGGCCTTGACGCCGACCTCCGAGGCTGGGCCGAATTCTGGAACTTCTCGACCGAGGCCCGCATCGTGCTGGCCAGGACCCGGTCGTGAGGGACCGCCTCCCAGACAGCGGTAACCCACATGAGCAGGACATGCCCAGAGTAGATCACAAGGGGGTCCACCTTGGAGCCGAGCCCGTACGTGCACATTCTGAGCCCGACCGAAGCACCTTTGGGGGGCCTGCCGAGGGAACTAGCAGCACCAATTCGGAGGCCAGCCATCTTTGTTGGAGACACCTGACACCGAAGAGCCCCAGAGGGCCGAAGCCAAGGGCCCCGTCCTGTGAACCATCCCGATGTCCGCCCCAGCTCCTTTAGTATCTTCAACCTCCTGGCACGAGACGTCGCAGCCGAAGCCCTGGCATTCTGGATCCCGACCCTGCGAAGGCCTCCCAGAGTGGCGTTCGTGCCTAGGTTCCTCGTCGTGTCCGTCCTGCACGCCGTAGGGAGGGACCAGGCCTGGGACAGGAGCTTATCTACCTCCTTCGAACATAGGTAGGCGCACTTCTTAAACTCCACAGGCAGCTGCAGCTGCTCGAAACCCTTGAAACGAGACTCAACCGCGCCTGATAGCTGAGCGGCGACCTGATCTCTGGCCCACTGCTCTGAACAGTAATGTCGTCTACCACGTTGCGCGCGTACAATGACTTCTGTTCCCCCGAGCTTCCAACAGGGGCCCAGCAGCAGCATCTTGGCAAAAGTAGTGGCCCCCGAGCAGCCTGCGACGATCGCCCGGCTCGATTCGACGGCGGCAGAAACAGCACCCCCATAGAGCAGCACACGGAAGCCAGCATAGATGGGGCAGTAGCTTCTTATCAAGCGAACAGGGAGCCCGAAGCGTTTAGCTGCGACGAGCAGGTGCTCATGTTTCACATTCTCATAGAATTTAGCCAAACCCAGGAGCGCCGAGGCAGATTCGAAACCAGCTTCTCGGCAGTGAGCACCAAGCAAGTTGTGGACCCAACCTGCCCGCTCGCATGTAGTGTCAGGGCCCGAGCCCCAGAAAAGTTCATACACGTGGGGCTTCTCCCAAGCTCGACAGTAGGGCTGCCTCAACCGGCTCCGAAGCTTCATGAAGAAATACAACAGCCCTATAGGCCTGACCCCGCCCGACGGTTTGTCCAGAAATACCACGTTGGTAAGAAACATAGTGAAGGCCCCAGGGTCCATTTCGAAGAGCGTCAGAATCTCCAAGAGGCGAAACCGGTGACTTTCAGGAAGCTGAAGCACCCACCGCGGATGAAAGCCGTCCCAACCCAGGCCCGCCGAAGGCCCATACTTCATACATGCACGGTGAAGGTCTTCCAACTTGAGCGGATAGAGGTCGGGCTCCTCGGCTGGGGTCTCCCAGGTGCTGGGGGCAGGGCGTCGCCCAGCTCGAAAACACATAGGATGCCACGCATCCAGCTGCTGCTGAAGGGCGGCCTGACCAGCCACAGGAAGCCGAGGATCATCCACGGTACCTCTCGGGCAGACGCTCGTGACCTGGTGCTTGGAAAAGGCATGATCATCTTTGCCCCCTCCAGTAACTGCTTTCTTGGCCCACTCCTTCCACTTCGCCAGTTGCACTGCCGAATCCAGCCCCTGGCGACGAGTGCATTCCTTGTTGATGCCTTCGTGGATCTCCGTATCCCGAGGGCCCATAGCCGAAGCAGCCTTGATCATAGCCAGCAGTTGGACCTTGGTGGTTCCCTCGTCGACCAACTCCAAATCGTCGAGGATGTTAAGCAGCTTGGACTTCCAGGACCCCAGCAGCGCATTCCCCTTGGCCCCAGGGTTCCCCACGCTGGTGGCTCTGGCCTTCCCGAGCAGGGCCTCGAACGAGATCCACCAGACCGTTTGCTTCGAAAAACGACGGCGGTGGTCCCTTTCCAAGAGGGCAGCAAGGGGCACTTTGCGAGTCTGGGGCCCAGCGGAGCGACCAACATATCCTTTGTTGTCACATATCCCATGGATCTCAACCAATCTAGCTTCGGCCTCGTTGAACCATTCACGAGACAGGATGCCGAGGTCGTTGTCTAGAGGGTCACTCCATTGGACATCCCGCTCCTGCGGCAGCAGGCCCATCAGCTTGGTGCTGGACGGCTTGAAGCGCGCCTGCTGCGAGACCACAGCGGTCTGGCATAGGTTCCCCATCCGAAGCAGCACAGGACAATGGGGAGAAAGAGGCGCTCCTTGGATGGATGTCTTTCACACGCGTGCTGATAGCCGACGAGGCGACGAAGAAGTTTAACTCCCGACCTCCGATATCATGCTCCGGCATCTCCTCCTCCATAGCTTCCCCTGAGGCCGTCCTAGGAGCGCGGGCAAAGCAAGTCGGCCTGCCAGGCGCAGCCACTGCGCCGCGCACGTGCTGAATGAAGTTCCAGTCCCCTCGGACGATCCGCGGCCATCTGCTGCGCAGGACGATCGCGCTCAGTGCTTCCAACATCTCTAAGTTCTCACCTGCAACGCCTAGGTCGTTGATCGAATAGACACTGTAGATCTCAAGGCCCTCGTCGAAACCA